TGCTGCCAAAAAAATTAATAAATAACGGACATTTGGAAATAATACATCGTCTGTCTCTTTGATTAATTCATTTAACCATTTGTTTTTCCAGTTATCATTCATTTGTTATGGTAACTGTAGCACTTGTAGTTGCAGGTGTAGTTGAATCTTGTGTTAAATTTTCTGTGCCAGTACGTATTTTTTTGGAAGAAAAGTTGTAGTTAAATAAAGTACTGGGTCGCTTTTCATTCGACATAGCTTAGTGTTTATATTTTTTTAAAGCAGAACAACAGAATGATAAGTGCACAATTGTATATATATATATGTTCTTTTTTTTCTATCATCTTTTCTTATAATACTCAGACGGAAGAAGATGAACTATAACCTATCTCGTCCAGTTTATCATCTTGTTTCTTCGTCCGTATCAGTATTATAAGAAAAGATGAAAGAAAAAAAAGAAAAGAAGAGGTGTATATATATATACAATTGTACACTTGTCATGTTTGTTGTTCTGTTCTGTTTTGTTCTGTTTAATTTTTCACAGAAAGCACAAGCAAAGAGTGCATGTATGATTCAGACGGAAGAAAAGAAATACAGTTACTATCTAATTCAAAGAAAAAAAGCAATGCTGAAAATCTAAAATTTCAATGGGCAAAAATTTACTAAGAAAAATTACAATGGGCAAACCTCCAAATAAAATGGGCAATTGCACATTTGCCCCTCCCTTGGCTACGCCCCTGTTTGATTCCTATTAGCTCTTTGAATTGATAATGTTCGTTCGAGTTCGTCCATTGTGCAGATAAAAGTTTGAACAAGATCAATATCATGAGTGCTTCCTTCTTCCATTATGATCATTTTAATGAATTTTCCGATCATCATTGGATATTACGAGAAAAAATGAACCGTAGAATTTCAGTCTGACATGCTACTTGAAGATAGTTCTCATAATTCTTATAATATCCTGCAGAATTGGCTATTTCTTTAGGTAAAATTTCAGACTAAAATTCTGCAATGGTTCGAAAATTCATTAAAATAATCATAACACAAGAAAACAACACTCTTTTTCTTGTATAGATCAATAAATTGAATCTAAAACCAAACAAAGAAAAACTTTAGTTATTCAATTTATCTAGTTTCTAAATTTGTCTCGCTTTAAATGAATTCAGAATTTCATTAATATATGATAGAGACGAATCTTGCCATTTAATCATAATTGCTATAGAATTAACTGGTTCAAATTGAATAATCATTCGTGTACGTATTGGTGCACCTTCAAGTGTACGAACTTTAATTATTTCACTTGCTGGACCAATACACCAACATTATCAACGACTGATAATATAGATATTAAATATGATTTTCATGTCATTACATCTAAAATTAGAAAAATAAAATTTGATTAATTTTTGTATCGATGCACAAAACAAAAGGACTTTTAAAATATATGATTGTGTTGATGAATTAACACGAACTGATTTCCAATTTATATTTGAATAATTTAATGCATAATTAATATTATAACTAATTAATTATACATTAATACTTGATTCAATTGGTTTTGATAGATAAGTTATTTTTGTTTCTTTTTTATTCATAAAAAATCTTACTTTCTTCTGATAAAGTTATTTTGTTTAGAATTCGTTAGAATTCCGAACATGTCTGTTCGAGATAATCAGTGTTCTATATATTTCCTATATAGTGATAGAAAATCTCATGTAAATGATGCTTTTGAATTCTTATACACTCTAGTACATCAAGTTTATGTTGAGAGAATTGGTTTACATCAATATTGCTCGTGTAAAAAACAAGAAGCTAGAAAAATTATTCTTTTTCAATTCATGGAAAAAAAATGATGGCCTATTTATCGATAAACGTTTCAAAAATTGACTTTAATTCAAAATTTTGATTGATCATCTAGAATAACTAAAATTTCATCAATATTTATCTATAATTTTATCAGTTGATGTTTGTACAACATGCCTCTGAAATAGTTCCTATATTTACATTAGCAAAAATTTCAAAACAGTTTTTAGAAATTTATAAAAGGAATCATACAAATATACAATTAAGATTTCTATTAAAACATTCTCATCCGAATTTAATTATCTATGTCAGTAGAATCTGTTAATAGAAAATAAAAATTTAAGAGAGAAAATATCATTTGAGATTTCAATTAGGCATTGATCACTTTAGATTTTCTATATTCGTATTTCAACTAAGAAAAAATCCCATGTATAGTGAATATATTAAAACGTAACATGGTGAGAGCAATTCTTGAAGTATGTATCTCATATTCATCATCACCATTCACATAAAACACTAATGACAAGCAACATATATTACTTTGAATTGAATCCTATTAACATTCGAGATATACATAACATCTGATGAATGCGTTACAAACTAAAATGACCAAACAAATCCTTTAGTTATGTGTCATTAAAGTTATGAAACCTAATTAGACTCGGACATAACTGTTAAACATAGCTGTATGCAAATTTGAATTGAACTTTGTTAGATCAAATTGGTTGTGAATTTCTTTCGGAAGTATGTCGACTGAATAAATATACATTTATATTATTCAACGATAGAATAAAGGTTATTGGAATAATTTCAAAAAGACTTCGAACATTTTTCTTCTAGCATACAATACAATGGACTTGTTTTTAGAAT